CATTACTATCATAACTATACATGCATACCTTTGTAAAAATATAAATTTACAACCCACCAACATGTATACAATCAACCAATGGAGCAACTCGGTCCTCCGAACTATAACCAATCAAAATCCATGATATTTTCAGTTACAACGAAACAACAACAATCCCATTTCACTCTACTAGCCAATAGCTATGTCGCGAGTTAAGCCAGACAATCACATCTCATAACAACATACCAGTTTACCAGGCTAGCTTGGAAGGGTGTGGTACTTAGATTCTCAGCGCAGTCAGTTTACCAGGCGCTAGCTGGAAGGTAACGTACCTTTGATTTTAAGCGCGGGTATAACACCACACAATCACAGCACATCAAGGCATAACCAACATGTATAATGCATATACATAAACTTCAAGACACCAGCAATGTGTTAAAGTATATGAACACATGACTATCTCCTTCCGAGCAAACATACATATATATAATGTATCTAGCACTTCATCACATATGATGTTCAATTATCAATGGTAAAATGCATACCCGACATTCTACACAACCGTGTCATCCCTCCACCGATGACCAAGGACAAACCTCTAGATGCATATAGTAGTACATCTATTAAAAGACTCAAATATCATGAATCACAAACCCACAACAATCTATTGACATGGTAGTTAAAGATACCACTTCTACATGTGTTCAAACTCAAGGATACAACAATCCAATTCTCAAACTTATTCCGAAACACTTCCTTCATTTTCACAAAAACGATTCCATTTCCTTTTGTTATCACAAAACCAACTCCACTAATCTTGTTTCCATAAAATCAACTCAAAGCCATGGTTAAATCCCTTAGCCAATTTAAACCACCCTTACTACCACTCGTTTTGACAAAAGAAATTTACACACAAGGTCAACAAACCCCCATTTTAATTTCAACAAATATAATTTATAGGCTTTTCTTCTATTAACTACAACATGCTAATTTATATTTTAATTAGCCAGACAACAATCAATAAAGCCAAAACCATCTCCACACCACAACCCTAGGTTTATTTCATGATTTTCAAGCAAATCCAACATGATACAATTTCATGCAATACAAAAATTACCAATGTCTATCTATAACGGAGTATGAAAAGAACAAGGAGAATCCCTACCTCAATGGAGAACTCAAATGGAGAAGATGAACCGAATATCAAAGTGCTCCAAATCCCAAATTTCTTGGATCACAACGAAGCCCTCGACGATCAACACACTTCTTACAAAGACCCAAGGTGAGAAAAACACTTTAGCTAGATCAATCCTAAGAGAGAAGTTCGCTTTAGAGTGAGGTGCTCTCCAATGGAGGTTTTGAAAAAGTAAGAGAGAGAAAGGAAATCAAAAAGTGAACAAAAAGTGATTTCACGGACTGAATATAAAAACAGGTCCGCTCGAGCGTACACACACTCCGTCGGAGCGTCAGACACAGGTTTCACGCTCGAGCGTACCAAAGATCCGCTCGAGGCCGTATGCACTCATCCAGAATTTTTTTGCAGACGTCCAAAATGCTGAGAAAGGAAATTCACGCTCGAGCGTCCCACTTCCGCTCGAGCGGAAAGGCAATAAAAAACCCGCTCGAGCGTTCAAATCGCGCTCGAGCGTAGAGACTCGAACCTGGGCAAAATTCTAAGTTTTAAAACACAGTCAACTTATTCCACTTGCCCACACAACCCAAAACTCTAACACAAGAGTAAGGGATAAAAATGAGGATAAGACAACAACGAATCTACGGAGCCGAGTCTGGATTGCAGTCAAACAGCAAAGGAATACCGGGATCGTTATAGCCCTGGAAATTTGTAGCCATTAAGGCTTTAACTTGTAATGATTTAGTTTTATTCATTATGGATGCAATTCATGTTGCAGAACTAAAAGAATGTACTGAGGTATGTATTGGAAGTGGTGTGCATAATCATATTGTTATTGTTTCCTCATGTTAGTAATATCATAATAGAGTAGAAGTCTATTTATTTTGGGGGCGTTACAATGTAGTTCAAACAAACTAAGCAACGGACAAAGTGGTGTAGACGCCGCCCGAACGTCGGAGGAATCCCATTTCGTTCGTTTGGGCTCACTACGTTCAGGACTCAATTGTCACGTTCTAAATCTGAACCAAAGAGTCACAAATTTGGCAAATCGTTTTTGAAAACAGATTTTTTTTTTTGTAAAGAAGTGCCAAACATGGACTGCTTGCCAGAGTACAGAGTCGCCACCTAAATATTTTTTATGGGGCAATTTAGGAAACTCTGACTCGTTTGCCTAAGGCCATGTACCGTCATCACCAAAGTTGCTTCGGCTCGGGAACTTGGGTTACGATTGGGAAGGTCAGCTATGAGCACCCCGCTTGCCAATCCGAAGATTGGCTCTACTAACCATGATATCTTGTTTTGGAAACATATGCATTCTTAACCGGTATTAGCCTAGATTTACTACATGATGGCGCAAAACATACAAGTATAGACTGAATTCCCTGAATTGGAACAAAACATCGCATATCTGTTTGTTTTGAAACCATGGATTGAAATTGCTACTCGCAAGTAGGCTAAAACACGGGTTTCGCACGAACATTATCTCCAACTCAAGCAACCCAATCTCACCCATAGGCATTCAGGCAGTTTATAACCATAACACACAGCTCATGGTAAAGCATGCTATCATGGCAACACTCACTCATGCAAGATGGCTAAAACATAATGCTTATCGAAATACCCAAGCTAAAACAGAACTAGTCATAAATCATATGATCACCTATTGTTTCATGTTAAGATGGCTTAACGCACACATGCAAGATGCAACTACAATAGGCGCGGCTATCTAAGATGCATATTGATTGATGCTACAACTAACACGTATTCAACTTGGAATTGAAATACAATGCAGTTAGTTGATCGGCCGAACCGGTGCATGCAGAACAAATGTATGGATGCACGCATGCATAGCATAAGGTATGCTAATTTAAATATGCCCTAATACTAACCATTGAAAGCGGGTAAGTAAAAGGGAGAAAGAAGTGGGGGTTGGAAGTACATACATCACACACTCACACACACTTATTACATAATTGCCCTCGTCGTCGGAGGGTCCGAATAAATATTACAAAACAAATAGATAATTAACTCTTCTAACTAATTAAGTATTACATATCTTCTATTTAATTAACAAATTAAATGCAGAAAGAGGATGGCTGCAGCCGCCTCGGAAGCTAGGATGATGCATGCTCGATGACTCACCCGCCCGGAACCCGTGCCATGCCACTGTTGCCTCTGTTTTACATTGCCTTGCTCCTCTGAAATCTCTGAAAGTCCCAGACCCATTTTGAATCACCCTCTGATGCTCTGGGGGGTCACCGCCACAATTCAAGTTCACGGCCATGGGGATGATTTATCGGCCAAAAGTTACACCACCGGCTGATATTGATGGTCGGTCGCAACTATATGTGCCGGCCGGCCATTTCTTCCTGCAGAATACTATTTTGACAGCAATAGAGGGCAAGCAGTGCATGGCAATGAATTTCAAAGCCAATGTATGCATGGCCACTCTCCAATCATCTATGGACTCATGGGAGTGTGACCCTCGGTACTTGGGTCACCAATCACGCATTTCGATGCATGATGGCCTAGGCACCAAGTTTGAACTTAATTGAAATGCACTACATAAAGGAGTGAATGCCTCGTGCCCTATCATGTTGAGGTCAAGGGCATTGGCGACCGAGGAGTGAGACGTATCTTGCCACTTTGAGTACGATACGTCTCATCCTCATGCCTGGTTTGACACCCCAACCAAACAAAGTATGCATGGGTCATGGGGCTCAAGTATGTTAAGATGGCTCGAGTATGCAAACATGCCAAATGTAATGCAAAACTAACGATGTAACATGCAATGTGCCAAGTATGCAAAATGCGATGTGATGCGACCTATCATACATGCAAACATCATGGAAACATGATATAATGCAAGCATGCACTATGTAATGCAATGTGCAAACTGCAAAGTATGGCAAAGATGGTCTTGATACTGAAACGAGAGGCCTCAGCCCATCCCAAACAGCGGCCAAAAGGGTGCAACAAAGGCACAAAACACGCATAGAAACATGCATATACCAAGGCCTATCACCTAAGGCATGAAAAGAGGCCAATTCTAAGCATACTTAAAGGAACAAACATGGGCATTTTACAAATATGCTGAGCTCTGAAATCAATCAATAGGAGTGCCAAACCAAACATGCAAATGAAGCAATAGCATGCAAAGGGGTCCAAAGCTTGGAACAACCAACGACTCAAGCCATAACCATGCAACGAAGCCCCAAAGGGACAAAGTGACTTAAATCAGTCCTAGGGCAGACCAAAATGGACTAGAACATGCACGGAAATGGTCAAAACATGCCAAGAAATGGGCCCAAAATGAAGGGCATTTAAGGCCACAAAAGGGAGCGTTGCTCAACCCTATCCCAAGCAAACATGGTATGGACTATGCAACCAAAAACATAGTTAGAATGCACCAAAATAAGTCCCAAAACCCACTGTTATAGCAACTCGAATGACTCAACACATAGGCATGCACAAAGCCCAAACATGGAGCATGAGACCACACCTCTTCAAGGCATTGAAGGAGAACAAATGTAAGCATGTAAGCACAAAACATGGATTTGAAATGACAAATATAGTGATTCCAATCACTAAAATAGCCAAGTGTAATGCATGCTAATGACTCACACACCCGATGTCAACATGCTAGAATGCAAAGGGACTATACAAAGCAGGAAAGGTATGACCAAAATCAATACCTAACAGACCTCAAGCATGAAGAAAATTGACCAATAAGCTTTCACAAGCTAGGCGAAAACATGAGTATGGTAGGTAAATGCAGTGAATGCACTTGCTAGGAAAAATAAGGAATACAGAAAGGCAAGTATATTAAGCATGGCAAGGGGCCCATTAATC